GATCTTCAGGACTATTAAGGAAGAAAAGAGAGGGTGTGTCCTTTATTTCTCACGCATCTGATGGAAGGACAAAGAGATCGTTTGGCTATAGCTTTGGAAAATTCTCACCCTCCAAAGTCTATCCCCCAGCTCCACAAAATCCCTACCCAATATTCTATGTCCAGCCAAATTTCCAAACTCCGCCTTCTAATCTCCCAGCTACACATTACCAAAATACCCCTCCAAACTACCAGACTCCACAATCAAATTACCAAACTCAACCATACCCAAAATTCCAAACACCAACACCTCCCCACCAAAATCCTTTAAATTATCGCCAGGTACCTCCACCTCCACAAAATAACTATGACCTTCCTCATCCAAACTTTGAAAGGAAACCTCCAAGATTTTTCACTCCTCTCATTGAAAGTCGAACTAAGTTGTTCGAAAGATTGAAAGTTGCAGACATGCTTCATCCCATCGAACTTAAACCTGTCAACACAAACTCTAAATTCTTTAGAGCTGATCAGATATGTGCATACCACTCCAATAGTGCAGGACATACCACCAAAGATTGCATCAACCTGAAGCATAAGATTCAAGACATAATTGATCACAAGGTGGTCACTCTTCATACTGCCTCTCCTAATGTGCATACTAATCGTTTACCAAATCATGGGGGAGATACTATTAATATGATTGAAATAGAAGAGGATTAGGATGTTGCTAATAAGATAGTCCCATCAAATCTTGATAGTGTTGAGAATGTTGTAGCCTCTCTAAGCATAAGCAAGAAGCCTGAGTTCTTGATAATGGCACCTCATGAAGCTTTTACTTTAGTGCCAAAAGAAGGCCTTACCAAGAAAGAGTTTATGATTGAGACCGCTACAGCCCATGGTATGACTAGATCTGGTAGGTGTTATACACCGGAAGAATTGACACAAGGAGGCCACAAGAGAGAACACTAGAAAAAGCCGATCAGTGAAGCTGAAGTCGAGGAGTTTTGGTGAAGAATGCAGCCTAAAGAGTATTCCATCATGAAACATTTGGAAAAGACACCTGCTCAAATTTCTGTGTGCGCATTATTGATGAGTTCACAGCAACACAGGCATACTTTGTTAAAGGCTTTGAATGAGACTCACATACCGGTGGGGACGAACAGTGATAATCTCGCAGCCATGGTAAGCAAAGTCATCAGAGGACATCATGTTAGTTTTAGCAATGAAGAGTTGCCTTGTGAAGGGGTGATGCATAACAAATCCTTGCACATCACAATCAAGTGTCGGGACAAGATTGTGAATCATGTTCTGATAGATGACGGATCTAGCCTTAATATTTGCCCATTGTCGACTCTCAAGCAACTAAATTTTGATCTTGGGAAGATTCGTCAGAACTACGTCAATGTGAGAGCTTTCAATGGGTGTCAAAGAGAAACATTGGGCACAAAATAGTTTGGGTATTGAAGTAGGACCTGCAGATTTAATTATCGAGTTCCAAGTGATGGACATCACCACTAGCTACAATATTTTACTCGAAAGACCTTAGATCCATATGGCTGGGGCCGTGCCCTCTACCCTCTACCAGTTGATGAAGTTTGTGTGGAACGATCACGAAGTAGTTATTCATGGTGAAGGAAGACATTCAAATGACAATGCCTCGATAGTTGACCATGTGGCTAGAGGTTCTGACTTCTATGCAGTAGAGATAGTGAATGCTACCGGTGATGATTTGGCCTCACATCCTCCTATGCCTTCCGTTTACAAGATGATAGCCACTGTGATGTTGAGAATTGGATTTGAACATGGTTTTGGGTTGGGAAAATATTTGCAAGGTATCACTGAGCCTATTCAAATTTTCACAACAGGTTCAAAGTTTGGCTTGGGATACATCCCAATAGTAGATGATGAGATGGAAGCTTCGAGTAACAAGGTGGTTGATTGGGAATTAGCAAAACCGGTACCTCACTTGTACCAGTCTTTTCCAATGCGAGAATATGTCAATGATGATGGCCTCGGGGAGGGAATCAGGAATATTTTTGAAGAATATGATGTTGTGCTTGAGGAGATGATCGAGACATCTGGCATTTGAGATGCCAACCCAGAGGAGCAAGTGCCTAATTTGACATCCACACAACTCCTGGTTCCTCACTCATCATGGTAGACAAAGACATTTTTATTTTGCTTATTTATAAAATCAGTGGTAGTCTTAATGAGGCCTAAGACCCACCCTTTATGTCGTTTTACCTCTTTAAGCTTTAATTTCCCTCCTGATGTTTCAAAAGGCAAATTGGCCTATGGTCATGGCCAAAGTTTGTACTTTCTTTTAATATAAATGAAAGCCTCATCTATGCTTAAATCTATTCATTCACAACTTACTAATTTGTTTTCAAAAAGAATTATTTGACATAGCTTATTTATGATTTTAGTAAGAAACTTAAAATCTGTCAATATCATGTCATGTCATAAGCTGAGTGAGCAAAATGAGATAGATGAGAATGAGTTCGAGGAATATGATGAAGAGACCATGGTCCCCGAACACCTCGCAGAAGAATTGAAATTGTTTAAGAATCAAGAGAAGCCAAATTTAGAGGAGACTTAGACCGTGAACCTGGGAGACGAAGAAAGTGTTAAAGAAACCAGGATCAGTGTCCATCTCACAGAAACTCAGAAAAAAGAGCTCATCAGTTTGCTTAAGCAGTACATTGATGTATTTTCTTGGTCCTATGATGATATGCCTGGGTTGAGCACATATATTGTTTCTCACAAGTTGTTGATTAATCCAGACTTTAGTCCGGTAAAGCAGAAAACTCGGAAAGTCAAGCTAGATTTGAGTTTGAGAATCAAAGAAGAAGTTACTAAACAGATTCAGGCCAAAGTTGTGGAGGTTACTAACTATCCAACTTGGTTAGCCAATATTGTTCCAATGCCTAAGAAATATGGTAAAATTAGAATATGTGTTGATTACAGAGATCTTAATAAAGCCAGTCCCAAAGACAATTTTCCATTGCCGAATATCCACATTCTAATCGATAATTGTGCTAATCAGGAAATGCAATCATTTGTGGATTGCTTTGCAGGTTATCATCAGATTTTGATGGATGAAAAAGATGTTGAAAAGATAGCTTTCATTACACCTTGGGGGTTTATCATTACCGGGTAATGCCATTTGGTCTTAAGAATGTTGGGGCCACATACATAAGAGCCATGAAAGCTATATTTTATGATATGATCCATAAGAAGATTGAAGTGTATGTGGTTGATGTAATCATCAAGTCCTACAAGAGTTCAGATTACTTGACCCATTTGAAAAAGTTCTTTGATCGATTGTGTCAATACAACTTGAAACTGAATCCCGCTAAATGTGCTTTTAGAGTACCAGTTGGTAAATTATTTGGTTTCATAGTTAGTAGAAGAGACATTGAGCTTGATCCTACCAAAGTCAAGGCGATTCAGGATTTACCGCCTCCGAAGACTAAGAAGAAATTATGAGTTTCCTTGGAAGATTGAACTACATCAGTCGATTCATAGCTCAATCCACGGCGATTTGCGACCCTATCTTTAAGTTGTTGAAAAAAGATGCACTGACGGTGTGGACTGAAGAGTGCCAAAAAGCTTTTGATAATACGAAAGATTATTTGACAAATCCACCAATATTGGTACCTCCGTGAGAAGGAAGTCCACTGTTACTATACTTGTCCATCTCAGAGAATGCATTCGGGTGTGTATTAGGATAACATGATGTAACTGGAAAGAAGGAAAGTGTGATCTACTATCTTAGCAAGTAGTTTACTCCATATGAGGCTCGGTGAACTGTATTCAAAAGAACATGTTATCCTTTGACTTGGATCACCCAAAATTTGAGGCATTATTTCTCTTCATATACTACATATCTTATTTCCAAGATGGATCCATTGAAGTATATTTTCCAGAAAGTTATGCCGACTGGAAAATTAGCGAAATGGCAGATGCTTCTGAGCGAATTTGACATTGTGTATTTTACTCAGAAAGAGGTTAAAGGACAACCATTACCCGATCATCTTGCAAAAAATCCAAGCGATGAAGAATATGAATTTCTCAAAACATACTTCACTGACGAAGATGTGTTACTCATAGGAGAAAGCATTTCTGATTCATACCCTAGTTGGAAGGTATTCTTTGATGGAGCGGTAAATTACAATGGAGCTGGAATTGAAGCGGTTCTAATATCGGAATCCGGTCAACATTACCCCATTGTGGCTAAACTTCGATTTCATTGCACCAACAATATGGCAGAGTACGAGGGTTGTGTTCTTGGTATAATGTTAGCCATTGACATGAATGTCCAAGAGTTGCTGGTAATTGGAAATTCATACTTGTTAATTCACCAGGTTCAAGGGGAATGGGCCGTGAAGAATCCAAAGATTATACCATATGTACAATTGATGCAAAGATTGTGCAAAATATATCGAAAGATAGAGTTTATGCACAATCCAAGGTTGCAAAATCAATTTGCTGATGCTCTTGCCACTATCTCCTCTATGATCAAGCATCCATATCAGAATTACATTGATCCTTTGAAGATAGATTTAAATAAACAACCCGCTCATTGTTCGCATGTCGAAGCGGAACCAGACGGAAAGCCTTTGTAATATGATATAAAGAAGTAACTGGAGACTGGAATTTTTCCAGAAGATGCTACATCCAATCAAAAGAAGGCAATACGTCGATTGGCTAACAATTTATTTCCAAGTGGGGAAATCCTTTATAGAAGGACTCCAGATTAAGGACTCCTCAGGTGTGTAGATTCCATGGAAGCTACAAGACTTCTCGAGCAGGTACATGCTGGAGTCTATGGACCTCATATGAACGGGCTTACCTTGGTAAAGAAGATCCTTCGAGCTAGTTGTTTTTGGATGACTATGGAGCACGATTGTTGTAGATTTGTGCAAAAGTGTCGTAAATGTCAAGTACATGGTGATTTGATCCGATTACCCCTCACGAATTTAATGATATGGGATCGCCTTGTCCATTAGTGGCCTGGGAATGGATGTCATTGGCCCAATTGAGCCACCCGCCTCTAATGGACATAAATTCATTTTGGTTGCCATTGATTACTTCACCAAGTGGGTGGAAGCAAATTCTTACAAATCTGTGATGAAGAAGGTAGTAGATGATTTCATTCGTAACAACTTGATATGTCAATGTGGACTGCCTGATTCCATTATTACAGACAATGGTGCAAACCTCAACAGTCATTTGATGAAGGAGATATGTGAAATTCAAGATTACTAACCGAAATTTGACTGCTTATCGTCCTCAAATGAATAGAGTCGTAGAAGCTGCCAATAAGAACATCAAAAAGATTTTGAGAAAGATTATTGATAATCACAGAGGTTGGCATGATATGTTACCATATGCTTTGTTGGGATACCTAACAACTGTTAGAAAATCAATCGGAAAAACTCCATACTTGCTAGTATATGGGACAAAAGCAGTGATACCGGTTGAAGTTGAAATACCTTCATTGAGGATCATTCAAGAAGCCAAACTGAGCAATGCTAATTGGGTTCGTAATTGGATTGAACACTTAGCCTTAATTGATGAAAATAGGATGACCGCTATTTATCATGGCCAATTATATCAACAGAGAATGATTCGTGTTTTCAACCAAAAAGTGAGATTTCAAAGATTTGAAGAAGTACAATTGGTCTTCAAACAGATCTTCCCCTCCATCAAGATGAGTATAAGGGGAAATTTGCTCCAAATTGGAAGGGACCATAAATGGTTCGTAAAGTGTTATCTGGAGGTGCCTTGATCCTGTCAGAGATGGATGGCCAGGAGTCGCCAAACCAATCAACTCAGATGTTGTCAAGAGATACTACATATGAACATTAGTTTTCTCTCATCACTTTCCTTGTAATCGTATCATTTGCTTGTAACTACTTATATCAATACCTTTGTAGCAAACTACGTCTGACCTGAATTCTCAAAAATGAGATACGTAGGCGGCCTATGTCGGCCTCGATCATTTTCTTATTAAAATTTCGTATTTCTTTTATTCCCAAAAGTGGAACTACGTTCGACCTAATTCCTGTCTCAACGGGATACGTAAGCGCCACAACGTCTCAGTCATACACCCCATAAAATTTCCATTTTCCTTTATAATGGAAACTGGGGAAGAACTTTTGAGAGGAGCTCAAAAATTCCAAAGATCCTTCGCCAGCAAGACAGGATTGAACATGCATTAGAAAAAGGAAATTGGGACAGAATTTTTGAGAAGGTCTCCAAAATTCCGCAAGTTTATCCTACCAAAGATTTGAAAATGCCAAGACATTTCACTAGGGAAGAATTTTTGAGAAGATATCAAAAATTCTATCAAGTACTGTCAGAAGCTCAAAGTTAACGACAAGTAATCTCCAGCGTGATCAGAAGCTCATGAACCTCAATATCTCAGAAATTCAAAGTCAAACTACAATTATCTTCTGATTTCCCTAGGTTAAAAGGACTTTTAGATTGGATATATCGAAACTTAAATGAAAGTGTTCATTTAAGCTTTAATGTGACATGACAATTGGAAGTGACCCTCATCAAATTAATTTTCAAAAATCTTTTTTTTCTTTTCCTAAAACTTTAGGCATATATCAAATATTTTGTATAAATTATAGATCTATATTATGTCTACAAAGAAGCGGGAAGCTAGAAGCAATCAACCAAAGATAGCAAGAGGAAGAGCAAGCAATCAAAGAAGTCAACACATATTAGTTCATTTAAAACTAATAATTTTTTTGTGGATGCAGGTTTACAAGGATAACAAGAGATCATCATGTTCAACAAATATGGGAAAGTCAGAAGAGAAAAAGCGCCCAGGACTGACATTTTCTTTATGCATGAAAGCTACAAGACTTCTCGAGGAGGTACATGATGGAGTCTATGGACCTCATATGAATGGGCTTACCTTGGCAAAGAAGATCCTTCGAGCTGGTTATTTTGGATGACTATGGAGCACGATTGTTGTAGATTTGTGCAAAAGTGTCATAAATGTCAAGTACATGGTGATTTGATCTGATTACCCCCTCACAAACTTAACACTATGGGTTATCCTTGTCCATTCGTGGCCTGGGGAATGGATGTCACTGGCCCAATTGAGCCACCCGCCTCTAATGGAAGTATATTCATTTTGGTTGCCATTGATTACTTCACCAAGTGGGTGGAAGCAAATTATTATAAATATGTGACGAAGAAGGTAGTAGCTGATTTCGTTCGTAACAACTTCATATGTCGATTTGGACTACCTGATTCCATTATTACAGACAATGGTGCAAACCTCAACAGTAATTTGATGAAGGAGATATGTAAGCAATTCAAGATTACTCACCGAAACTCGACTGCTTATCATCCTCAAATGAATGGAGCCGTAGAAGCTGCCAATAAGAACAACAAAAAGATTTTGAGAAAGATTATTGATAATCACAGAGGTTGGCATGAGATGTTACCATATGCTTTGTTGGGATACCGAACAACCATTATAACATCAATCGGAAAAACTCCATACTTGCTAGTGTATGGGACAAAAGAAGTGATACCAGCTGAAGTTGAAATACCTTCATTGATGAGGATCATTCAAGAAGTTTAATTGAGCAATGCTTATTGGGTTCGTAATCGAATTGATCACTTAGCCTTAATTAATGAAAAGAGGATGACCGCTATTTGTCATGGCCAATTATATCAACAGAGAATGATTCTTGCTTTCAACAAAAAAGTGAGATCTCAAACATTTGAAGAAGTACAATTGGTCTTCAAACACATCTTCCCCCATCAAGATGAGTATAAGGGGAAATTTGCTCCCAATTGGCATGGACCGTAAATGGTTCGTAAAGTGTTATCTGGAGGTGCCTTGATCCTATTAGAGATGGATGGCCAGGAGTGGCCAAAACAAATCAACTCAGATGTTGTCAAGAAATACGACATCTGAAGATTAGTTTTTCTCTCATCACTTTCCTTGTAATCATATCATTTGCTTGCAACTGCTTATACCAAGTACTTTGTAACGAACTACGTCTGACCTGAATTCTCAAAAATGAGATACATAGGCGGCCTATGTCGGACTCGATCATTTTCTTATTAAAATTTCCTATTTCTTTTATTCTTAAAATGGGAACTATGTCTGACCTAATTCCTACCTCAACAGGATACGTAGGCGCCACAACGGCTCGATCATACACCCCATAAAATTTTCATTTCCCTTTATAATGGAAACTGGGGTAGAACTTTTGAGAGGAGCTCAAAAATTCCAAAGATCCTTCGCCAGCAAGATAGGATTGAACATGCATTAGGAAAAGGCAATTGGGACAGAATTTTTGAGAAGGTCTCAAAAATTCCGCAGGTTTTCCTACCAAAGATATGAGAAATGCCAAGACATTTCACTGGGGCAGCATTTTTGAGAAGATTTCAAAAATTCTATCAAGTACTGTCAGAAGTTAAAGTTAACGACAAGCAATCTCCAGCGTGATCAGAAGCTCATGAACCCCAATATCTCAAAAATTCAAAGTCAAACTACAAATATCTTCTGATTTCCCCAGGTTAAAAGGACTTTTAGATTGGATATATTGAAACTTGCACAAAAGTGTTCATTTAAACTTTAATGTGACATGACACTTGGCAGTGACCCTCATCAAATTAATTTTCAAAAATCTGTTTTTTGTTTTCTTAAAACTTTAGGCATATATCAAATATTTTGTATAAAATATAGATCTATATTATGTCTACCAAGAAGCGGGAAGCTAGAAGTAATCAACCAAAGATAGCAAGAGGAAGAGCAAGCAATCAAAGAAGTCAACACATATCAATTCATTTAAAACTAATATTTTTTTGTGGATGCTGGTTTACAAAGGATATCAATAGATCATTATGTTCAACAAATAAGGGAAAGTCAAAAGAGTAAAAACGTGCAAGACTGAAATTTTCTTTATGCATGAAAAGGCATTGATATTCCTGCGATAAAATTAGTTGACTTGGTATTTTGAATAACAATGTCTTGTTCATATTTCTTAACAAAAATAGGAGCCACAACGATGATACAAGTGGTTAAAGAAAAAGTAGGTGAAAGCATTGAGAGGATGGCACTTTAAGATGTTCAAATGACTACAATAACATTATATTGAATTTTCTAGCGGCAAAGGGCACACGTAAGACACATCCAATATCGGAGAGAATTTGAAGTGCAACTTGCCAAAAAATGTTCATTATCACGTTAAAGTCAGAAGAGGCTAACGTTCACAGATATTTGTAAGTCACATAGATACTAGACACGGTGATGTGCATTACTGAAAGGCCATTTCATATCATGTCATCAGAGGTGGTGATGTCATTGCCAAGAGGTCCATCCATATTATATTATCAGAGGTGATATCATTGCCAAGAGAGCCATCCATATTATATTATCGGAGGTGATAATATCATTGCCACGAGGGTCATCCATATTATATTATAGAAGGTGATAATATCATTACCGAGAGGGTCATCCATAATATATTATTGGAGGTGATAATATCATTGCCAAGAGGGTCATCCATATTATATTATCGGAGGTGATAATATCATTCCCGAGAGGGTCATACATATTGTATTATCAGAGGTGATAATATCATTACCGAGAGGGTCATCTATATCATTTGCCGGAAAAAGTGATATTATTGCCAAGAGGGTCATCCATATTATAATATCAGTGGTGATAATATCAATACCAAGAGGGTCATTCATATCATTTGCCAAAAGAGGTGATATCATTGTCGAGAGGGTAATCCATGAACATATTACACCATATAAATTCATCATATATTACGTCAAAAATGGAGGAGGTTGACTTTCAGAAGAATTATAAATCACACAATCTTTGGAAAGATACCTTATTTGCTCTACGTCAAAATCAGAGGAAGTTGGCGTACCAACATAGTAAAGACACTACTTTCCTATTTGAATTACATTTTCTACTAATGAGTTTTATCTTAGTCTTTATCGAGAACATCTGAGAGGATGCATTCTCAATTAAACTATAGGTGAGGACGTCGTAAAAAAGGATGCAGCACAATGTTGAACTTTTTCTTAGCAGTGCACTAGGACCAGTCTGGGGAAGAATATCAAACTCCTTGGACGCGAGCTGAGGAGCGACTTCCACCACAATCAAACCACACCCCTATCTGAAGGCATGTGGGTAGTTTCTTGGGATCTTACAGTTTTAGTTTCGCATCCGGTTTAATGTGCGACTCCAACTTGAAACAAATCTTCAAATCCAAGTGACAGTACACCAAAAGCTTTAAAAACTATGTATGTGTAAGTTCTTAATTATGGATGTGAAGAGCTCCACATTCATGACTAAGAGATTGCAAGTTTCTTTTAGAACTCGATTCATTTGTCACTCTTCCTGAACCAAAGGTTATCTTAGCATTATAGATTTCCTTTCCAACCGATTCAGTTGAACTACAGACAACCTGATTCATGAGGTCGAGGGATATATAGGTGGACTCCATGTTGAAGACTTGGATGTATTCCAACAATCTGTTTTATATCTTATCTCCGAGCATTTCAATCTCTCCATAATTTGATACCGTAATAGCTTTTTGAATTTTATCAAAACAAAAAATCAATTGTCAAATCAAGAGTTATTTTGAACTAAATATCCTGAATTCTCATGTAACTTGAGACACATAGGAAACTCAATGCTAGGGTCCAACCATAATTCCTCAAAATCCGTATCGAGCCTTTCTTTCAAAGAGATGAAAAGGGTTCGGTCAAAATTAGATTCATCAATCTTCTTTGCCCAGGTTCTCTTTCATCGACCCTACCCAAAGAATGGGGCAGTTGTTGACACCCAATTTTTACCCTATGCAGTTGGAGTTAAATATCGAGCTTCTTCAGTTTCAAACAATTTGAAATAATTGTCTTTGAAAAATCCTAAAAAATATTTTAAAAGCTTTCTCTAATTAGTTCGGCTAGTTTTTTATAAATAAATATATAATTTTATAAATTGATTTATATATAATTTTCATATTTTATATAAACATTTAACAAATAGCCTAAAAATAAGTGTTTAGTATAAATATATATTTATTTCCTTCAAATTAGTGAATTTGATTATTTTGTATAATTATTTCTCTATTTTATGTAATGAACTTATGTCTTAATAATTATTTTGTTTTGTTTAAATTAGGAAGCTAAAATAATTAATCGAACTTAACCATCTCATTTTAGTTTTGGCTAAATTTAGTTATTTGACTCAATTTGTTTTTTTAGAATAGCAACTAAAATGGCCAATTTTAAATAAATTAAGTCATTCTCTTAATCCCCACGCATTCCCAGGCTCTCACATGTTCCTTTCTCTTTTTTATTTTCCAACCCTCACGCGCTACTCTCCCCTACTTCTTCCCAAAGACACAAGAGTCAAGAGAAGAACCCTAGTTCTTTGTCCGCCCATCACCCCTGTTAGTTCCTCCCCCTATTTTCAAGGATTACAGACCTCGGAACAAGACTTGTTGACTTTTGTTGAGAGAAATCTCACCCAAATCTGATGCGGATTAAGAGATATCACATCGAATCTGGATTTTTGGGGGTAGGTTCTCCTCCTGCTTGTTTTTCCTTCCATTCTCTCCAATCAATCTCTCATCTCCCGCTCAAACGGCTATTTGAATTCAAACCTTTACTTTTTTTCTATAAATACATGGTATTGGTGCCATTTAGAGAGGAAGAGAATTGGAATTTGAAGGTTGGGAGAATAATATTCTTCAAAATTGAACCCACGAAGGTTTGAGCCTAAGATTTTCAATTTTTCTTTCAAGCTATTTTGCTCATCTGTCTGTGGGTCAAAGTGGAATTCATCCTCAGCTCGTTCGTCTTAGGCCGCTGCTCCAAGAAAGTGATATTGGCCGAGTCCAATTGGACCCCCTTCTCCTCCTTACATTTCATGATTGGGTTTCAAAGCCCAACACCCCTTACTATCTGA